AACCAGCCAGCCAACAGTGTTTTCCTCTCACAAAAAACCAGCACCAGCCAGCCCAAACCAGCACCAGCCCCAACCAGCGAACAGGCCCATTGGCGGTCGATGTCTTCTCTGTCCCCGACCCCAAGCCGGCAGTACCAGAGCACCGTGTCGGCGAGGTCGACGACCAGGACGAGGCAGCTACGGCTTGGACGATGATGATGGATGGGCGACCTGCACGAGAGAAGCACAGGAAAATCACGGCGCCGCCACGAGGACCCAGGCCTGCGTCATGGTCCAGCACCGGTGATCCTTCATCTCGCCCACCCTCCTACGCTGCACTTGCTTGCTGGGGATGCTGTACAATAGCAACATCCCGCCACCGTCGGTCGCCTTGCCCTCGCCGTGGTCGTCGAACAGGAGCAGCGGAGCGTGCCGAAGATCCAGTGGGGACGATGATGACGCGTTCGCTTCATCGCCCCCTGCTGCCGGCATCGCGGTTGTCTCCATGTGGAAGGGCACACAAGGCATAGCTCGTTGCAATAATTGTCGTGGCCGCGATGCGTGCGTGCACGATCTACGTACACAACTGGATCATCGCGACATCCAAATAAATAAAGTATATATGGCGTGAGATTTGCATGTCTGTGTCCCTACATGGCCCGCGTGCAGCTTTTTTGACCTTGACGTATCGTGATGGCTGCGGCCTGCGGCTCCGAACGGAACCGGGGTTCCACCTGCCTGCCTGCTCCGACGATTTGGACCCAACCGTATCTCCTCTGTACTCTCTAGCTGCGTGTGCACCGAAGATAGATATCAGAGATTTTTTTTAAAAAGAAAACTAGTCAACGTGTCCATGTGTTGTAAGCCGGTCTCAATGATTTTCATGACAGTTTTATAGACGTCAAATAAGCTGATGTGACATAGTTTAATTGAGGAGAGAGATAAAAATAGTTTTACGGTGTTGAGTTTCAGTATTAGGGATATCCGAAGAAATGATCTGAGGACCGCGAACGACAACTCGCCTAGATAATTAAGGACGTATTTCAGTCTCGACCGACCCCGAAGGGACGGTTTCTGCCTCGCCAGACCCCTCGGGCACGCCCCCGTGTCGCCGGACCCTGAGAGTACGGGAGCCGTCTCGCCCAACCCTGAGGGCACGGGCTCCATCACGCCCGACCCCTCGGGCACGGGCTCCGTCTCGCTCGACTCCTTGGGCGCAGGCTTCGCCTCGCCCGATGGGGTCCGTACCACCCTCAACCACTACGGGTCCAAACGTGTGGCCTTGGGTCAAGCCTCTGACACCAGAAGGGGCGCGACCACGCCTTGACGTGACCCGTGGCTACGACAGGCCACGCCCCGGGGTTCGCATCGCCAACAGTGATGGGTGCGTGGGCGCTGTGCTGCATAATCTCCGTACACCAGAAGGACGTGGCAGTCCTAGAGGGCTTCTTCTCCTCGATTTTCTCCCTTTTTCTGTCTCTCTCTTCTCTTTTTTATGTAATCTGCATCTTTCTCTTCTTCTATAAAAGGGGGACCACAACGCAACACAATACGGGGGAGATAGCGAGCACACGGCTGAGCAGCTGAACAAACTCTCAGCACTTTTCAATCCTTCCACCACAGATCTGGGATCCGCTCCCTCTCTCGCCCATCTGTACCTCCTACTACAGATAGTGCCGGTAATACGAGCAGCAATAAACTGGACGTAGGGACGTTCTGCCCGAACCAATATAATCCTTGTGTCATCCGAGCACGCCATCCGAGCCAGATGCGCAAACTAAAAATTTTCTAGCCGGTGATCCGAAACACCGACACACGGGATGAAACGAGTTTCATGGGGATGAAACTTGTTTACACTGTTTTCAAGACCAAGAAGTCTTGAAAACAGAGCCATGAAACTCCCACTAAGACTGGTCTAATGAGCACGACTTGTTAGAGCCAGGCTAATAATACAGTTAGTTGCGGGCTGTAAGATTTCTTTACAGCCTTCTCTCAGCCCACTCATATAGTAGTTAGCTTTTCACTATTAATATACGGTCTACTTGTCTCTCTCAAAGTTTCTTGTTCTTGTGCTGAATCTGGCTTTAAACTTATAACCCACTTCTTTTCTCTCCTCTCCTATCTTCTACACTTCAGTATTTAGCTAGCTTACAGTCTGCTATTATACTTGCTCTTACATGTTTACGTCGCATCTTAGAAAATTATTATTCAATAAATAATCATATAATCTGTTCCAATTCGTCTTGGGACTGAGATTTATTCGACAATCGTACCATGTCTGGACGTGCGCTGCTCTAATTCATATAGACATGGATTGTCTTGAGATTGAACTCTACATTATGATACATCATAAGCTTGAATCGAACATCATCATACATCATGTGTTGATTTAACTCATATGTGCATGATCGCACGGGTTGTCTTGGGATCAAACTGCACAATGGACAGTAGGAGTTCCATGTAACAGAAAGTCTGATCCACGGATAGGATCGGGAGAACTTTGAGGGTATTATGAAAAATAATAAAATATGACAGACAAAAGAAACTTACTTTCATATATTTGGAAAACATAGATATCAGAATTTTTGGGCACGTACGTATGCGTCGATACAAGGAAGTGGCTGCGGTCAAAGCCCGAAGGAACAGTTTTTTTAATATATAATTAAGCCTAAAGGAACAAAACAACAACCATAACAGGAAAGTTTAGTAAATGGCCTGTTTGGTAGTGCTTCACTCCTTTGTTTTTTTTTTTGTGATTCACTCATTTGTTCTTTGGCTTTAGCTTCTTGATTCAGTTGGAATGATTCTAATGAAGGAGCAGAGTGAAGAGGAGATGGGATGTGATTTGGTGAAATTGAATAGGGAGCAACGAGGAGCATGTTAGCTCCTAGTTTCTAGTGTAAACAGAGAGATGATTCTCGTAAGATCTCCACCATAATGTATTCACCGTTTGGCATAGCTCCACACAACCCGCTCTAAAAAAAACTAAGAGCAAAGCCCTACCAAATGCATCCTAAATGTTGCCGCGTTGTCCGGTTGGGCACCAAAATCCCTTTCTAAAATTGGACAACATCATGTTTTTCCCAGATTCGTTCAATTTTTTTCTATGTTTTCTTTTTAAGTACGTACCTCTCGTGTCTCTTCCTTTAATTTTTCTATATTCTTTTATACACATTTTTAAGGAGAAGGGATTCTATTAAGGGGTTGTTTGTTTCCACATGGCTAAAGTTTAGCCTTGTTACATCGAATCTTTGATATCAATTAGGAGTATTAAACATAGGCTAATTACAAAACTAATTACACAGATTGAGGCTAATTTGCGATCTATTAAGTCTAATTAGTCTATGATTTGACAATGTGGTGCTACAGTAACATTTGCTAATGATGGATTGATTACGCTTAATAGATTTGTCTCGCAAATTAGTTCAGGACTTCTGCAATTAGTTTTATAATTAACTCATGTCTAGTCCTCCTAATTAGCCTCCGAACATTCGATGTGATAAGGACTAAACTTTAGCCGAAGGATCCAAACATCCCCCAATATAAAGCCGCATGGAAGGCAAATTATTCATTCTATAGATCTCATGAGGAACACAACTCTATCACACACTATCATAGAACCACGTAATGAGTAAGAGTAGTTTTCAGCAAATCCAAAAGAGCAACTTCATTAGCAAACATATACTGTAATAATCAATTGGTAATATATATCATGATATAATCTTCGTATTGAATCATTTATAAATTTAAATCAACCAAAGCACTGCGATCGAATTTCTCTACTGTCTCCAAAAACTCTAAGGGCCTGTTTGTATACCATGAATTAAAAAAATATTTAAAAGAGGCTTAAGCATTTCTACTCCTGTGTTTCAAGCGAAATGGTGATTTTATCAATTTTTTTTAACTTTGTGATTTTATCCCTACGATTTCAAAACGAAGGGAGACTTTACCCCTGTTCTGTTAAGTCCACCTAACGGTGTTAACTTTTGAATAAAAGGACAACTTTGTCCATGCATTTTTACCCCTGTTTTATTTTGATATTTATATTTTTACCCCTATTTCCATACAAGCAATTTCGTAATTTTCATACAAAATTATACAATTCAAACAGTGCAAAACTCAACCATTTCTAAGAAAAATTTGACAGCATTTTAGAGAAAAATCCGGACCTGAGAAATGCAAACACTGGCGTGGCGTTTGGTTAGCCACGGGGATTGGGTTAGGGTTATGAGGATACGTGGGTTAGGGACGAGGATACAAGATTTGATCCATTTCCCATGTTTGGCCTCTTTTGATGTGGGGTTAAGTTATGTGGTGGGGCCCACAAAATAAAAAAAAACAAAATAACATTTGTCTTCTCTTGCTCGTGAGTTCGCTGCGCTCAGTTTCAGCTTCGTCAGATCCAATCGTGAAGGGCCCTAAAAAAAAAAATCCAATCGTTAAGGCAAATAGTGCTAGCTTCTAGCTAGCAGCAGCTCCCAGCCGACGCGGCTCACCTCACGCGGGCGGCGCATCCGCAGCTGCGGCAACCGGCGCGTGCGATGCTTCCGTGCCTCCGACGGGTCGGCGCATGCGAGGCTCCACGAGACAGTGAACGCCGGGGGCCGCCTACGTGCCTCCCGTGCATGTCCGCCGGGGCCGCCTGCGAGCCTCCCGCGCGCGACGCCGGGGCCGAGGCGAGCCTCTCGCCCGTGACCGCCGGGGGACGCCAGCCTGCCGGGGTTATTGTTGTCTTTTGGTGTGGGTGTCTTTTCATTTTTCTTTTTGTTTTGGTATTTAATCTACTCAGATTAAACGGTGTGGGAAAGCAGAGGTAAACGGCAGCTTCATTCTAAAATTTCGAGGGCAAAAATACAAAGTTAAAAAAATGAGGATAAAATCACTATTGAGGTTTGAAGTAAGGGCAAAAACACCAAATTCCCCATCTAAAATTACTTCTCATTTCATTATTAGATTATTTTCCAATTCCTCTTGTGGCTAGCAAACACTACCTAATGATATTCATTTACAGTAACACACAGCTACTTCTTAATATGTATATTAAAATCAACCCAAATGCTATAATCCAGCTTTTCTGTGTCCCAGAACTCTGTCGATTCTTCTGACCCTAGTTGATGATGCTGATGAGACCAGATGTTGGCGCCATCTTTGGCGGACTTTGTGTCCCCTCCGGCTCCAGTAGAGGTCGGTACGAAAGCTAGCTCGCCGTGGCGATCAACAATATCAACATGGACAGTGTCCGGCCACTGGTAGAGTCTTGGCAAGAAGACCTTGTTCTGCATCCACATGACTTTAGTCTTGCTCGTCAACGCGTCGAGCGTGCCGGTGAAGAGCGCGCGCCCGCCGAGGCTGTCCACCTCGTGCCACTCCATCTCTTGTTCGTCAAGCTTGACAATGCGGACCGGTGTCCCGCGGCGGCCGATGAGTATGGCCATGAGCTCGCCGTCGTCGGACTCGAACAAATATACTTGTCCTCCGGCTCCTCGTCACACTTGTGGATCCCGAAGCTGGAGGGCTTGTCAAGAATTTTGAAGAAGCCGTCGTCGTCGCAGTGCAGGGACTCGTCGTACACTGCCAGCTTCCCGTCATCAAACAACACGTAGAGCGAGCCACCATGGAGAATCGGGTTGGTGTTGGGCGACGCTTCCATGAACCCGGAGTCAGGCACGAGCGCGTAGTCCCAGTCGTCCCACTCGCCGTCGTCGTCCTTGACGGTGAGGGCGGTCCGGGGATGGCCAATCGTGTGGACGCCGAACATCCTCTCCGGCTCCGCGCCGCCGTCGTAGACGACGAAGTGGAACCATCCGTATATGGACGGCGGCAGCTCGTGGACATCGCCGGTGACGAGGTCGGCTTCCAGTACCTTGGACCGCTGGCACAGCGTCAGGTGGCGCCCGGCGGCGCAGCAGAACTTGGCGCCTGGTGCCTCCAGGGTGCGGGAGACCTCGAAGTTCTTGTGGTAATAAGGGCTGTAGAAGCGTAGGTTGGTGGAGCCGACGTCTGCGGCGCTGAGAAGAACCGGGGTCACCCAGGCCGGGTAGAAGGGCGCCACCACGGAGCGCCAATTCCTGCACGCGGCACCGAAGCTCGGGTGGGTCGACCACGGCAACCGCTCCAGGACAAGGCTCAACAGATCCGTTGGGCCCGTGACCGTCGCGCGGCAGCTGTCCAAGCTCAGGTGGATTGGACGCGGACGCCAGCTTCCGTGAGCCCGCATGGCGATCCCTTGTCCACGCGAGCACGCCACGGTTACGAGCACGAGCTCCCTCGTGGGCGGCTCGCGGGGATACCGTATCGCCCAGTCGTCATGGTTCGCGGCCGTGGACCGCACCGTCGACAACGACTCTTGAGTTTTTCCACGTGGACAAATCGGATGGCATAGGTCGACGACTACGGGTAGAGAAACGATTGTTGCCGACTGTCGAGCGAGCTTTCAGGACGGTTTTGCTAACCTGCAGACACTTGCAGGTGGAGCCGAACAATCACCCGCGTCCGGCGTCCCTATCGGACGCGCGCTGCTGTTCCTCCGGCAAACAATCAGGCGTGCAGTGCAGTGGCGGAGTACGCTAGTACTGTATACATTTTTTGGCACGAAAGAAAAAAAGGCTCTGGACGGCGAACACGGTAGCGGCCCCGATGCAGAAGCCAGAAACGTTAGGTGGTGGTCTCTGCAAAGCATGATTGCTGCTCCCGAAGAAAGATGCAGAGGCCTTGTTTAGATTCCAAGTTTTTTCACTCTCTTAATCACATTAAATCTTTAGACATATGTATGGAGTATTAAATGTAGATAAAAAAAACTAATTACACAGTTTGATTGTAAATTACGAGACGAATCTTTTAAGCCTAGTTAGGTTATGATTGGATAATAATTATCAAATACAAACAAAAGTACTACAGTATCAAATACTCATTCCTAACCACGAATTAAAAGGCCAGAGGCCAGAAGCCCAGAATAGACCCGTCCAGTCCAACGGCCGCAGAACCGCGGAAGGGCCCAGGCTGCGGCCCCAGAAAGAGAAAGCGGGCCAGGTGCGCCGTACTTTGCCCTCGCATCCAAGGCTACCAACTACGGTAGCCGTTGCAGCTGCATTGCATGCATAGGCCGGACTCGGGGACCCGGACGCCGCGTGACGATCCGTCGGTTCCCCGACTCCCCGCCACGGACGACGCCACGCGCCCACGCGGTGGCGCCTGGATCCAGCCCGTTGGTTCCCGAGGGAAGAGCGCTCCAACGGCCACACGTGGCGGGCGGCGAGTCGGCCGGCCGCCGCTGCGGGGTCAGTGTGGAAACTAGCCGTTGGGGCGGCGGAGATTTCGGACTTTTGGTGCGTGAACAAGGGACGAGAGACACCGAGTCGTTCCGCGAGTCCGCTCACCGCCCGCGGAAAAGTGTGCCGGGCGCCACCGTCGGCAGCTGCTCGCGTGAGCGACGCTAGCTAATCCACTGTTGTTACGGGCGTGTTATGTGATCGAGCACGTCTCTAAACACTAGTAGTATATATATAGTAGTATTAATGTTTGGTGGAAAGACAAGGCGTGATGGGACAGGAATATACTATTAGTAGCGAGTGATTACATAGGCTAAGATCGACCAGATGGCGATGGCCACGTTGCATTTCTTAGCCAAGATGGTCGTGCCTGTTAGGCTATGGACGGCGACGTCTAGGGGTAACTTTAAATGCAGGCGTAAAGTTTTGGAGGTCATATCGGTGTTACATGGAGTATCGTATAAAATGTTTGGATATTAATAAAAAAATAAATTATAGAATCGTGAGTAAACTGTGAGATAAATTTATTAAGTATAATTAATCTATCATTAGCACATGTGTGTACTGTAGCACTTATTGTCAAATCATGGACTAATTAGACTTAAAAGATTCATCTCGCAAAGTAGTCACAATCTGTACGATTAGTTATTTTTTTAGTCTATATCTAATACTCCATACATGTATCAAACATTCGATGTAATAGAATATAAATTTTTAAGGAGAAACTAAACAAGGCCTTACTTCCTATTATTATCCATGTCTTTGTCTCCCAGTTTTTCTATTGATTGAGAAGTCATGATCTATTTTTTTTCTCTTTTGATAAGTGCAGAATGAAAAATGCTTTTTGAAGGCAACAGAATGAAAAATGTTGTAAACCAAAGTTCATTGTGCATTATAGTTGGCTAGTTGCAATGATAAGTTTGTTTTGCTAATCAGTAACATGTCATATCCTCTTAAACTTAGATTGGTATCAACAACCGATAATATTATATTAAAACATGATTTTTTAATAAACTGATGACTTTACAAACAACAGATAGGATTATAGGGCTTGTTTGACCTACGCCTAAGCTCGCCGCGCCATAGCAAGGACGACACCAGGACTGTGGCGGACGAGTGGTCGTGCCACAGCGCGCCGCAAATACAGCAGCTAACCAAACGACCATCACAAGTTAGGCACAAAGAATTGTGGTGTGATTTGGCAAGTTACGGTAACAAACCAACACACTCATAAATCGTTCTGTTGTTTTATTGCCCAGACACCATAACTTAATCGCATGTTTTCTCAGATAATGCCTGTCATCCTCTAGCTTTGCTAAACAAATAGCAAGCATCCTGCAAACGTTTGGGGGTAGGCAATGTGGATGGTGACACGGTGTAAACAAACGAAAGAAAACCGTGAGAGCCAATGAAAGATACCAACCCCAAGCTCCATCCCAACAGACCGCACTGTACCTACCCAATCTCACTGGTCGCCCCAACGATTAACGACGGACGAATCAATCAGCCACAGGTCGTCCTCGTCCACGCGACGCCACCACGGACACGGCGCCTCCCTCCTCACGCCTATTCTCACCGCCCACGCCCCAGCCAGCTCATCATTCCCCTCCTCGGGCGCGGGCCGGCGGGGCAGTTTCTAATCACCTCGCCCTTCGCCTTCCTTCACCCGGACGTAGGCAGCAGCGGCCAACCAAATAAAAACACGCCGCGCCGCCCCGACGCGGCGCGCTCCGTCTTCCTCCCTCCCCGTTCCCTACCTTCCAAATCAAAACCAGCCATACCGCCGCCGCCGCCTCGTCCTCTCCCTCGCCCCTCCTCCCGGCATCGCCCTCGCCCTCACCCTCACCGCGTCGGAACCCTAGCGGATCGTCATTCGTTCGCGCGCGCCCCGCCCCTCCCCGCCTTACCCCACCATGGAGGAGTTCGCGCGCGCGGTGGAGGACGGGCTCAAGCTCTCGAAGCGGCTCGTGCTCCCGGGAGGGCTGCCCCCGCCGCGCCCGCCGGCGGGGATGGAACGCACCGTGTCGGCCGCCGCGGCGTCGGGGCCCGACCCGCGGCTGCTCCCCACGGCGCCGATGGCCTACGCGGTGGTCACCGACCCGGCCGCCGTCGACACCCCCGACGTGCCCAGCTACCAGCCCTACGTCTACGGCCACCTCGACCCGCCCGCGCTCATCCCACTGCAGATGAAGGAGGTCGACCTGGCCGTCGACTGCGCGCTCGACGCCGCGCACGTCACCCTGCGCGCGCGCTGGTGGCTGCACTGCATCACACGAAGCCGCGAGTGCGACGTGCGCCTCGTCGTGCCCTTGGCCGAGCAGGTGAGCACGATCGGGTTTCTGCGCTATGTTGTCGCGGCTTGGCATTTCGCTCGCATTCTCTGTTTTTCCCCCTGATTCTGTTGAGTGTTGACTTGCCTCGTAAGATTCAGTTTGGTGGGGGCTCAAATAATTGCGGTTGTAGTATAACCAAACCGTTTGACCAGAGCGATTGGGTCAGGAAGGCCCATGTACTAATTTGATTTTCGGTGTATGGACTTTTGCCTTCCATTGCGTTTTTATCTGTGCATATGACCCGTAAACTAATGCTATTCATTCACAACATGACTCATTTGATGCGTTTGTACGTAGTTGCCGCCGGTGATGTTGGGTCTTTTTGTTGCATTTGCCACTGTTTTCATGTGTTTTGATCGATCTTCTTGTTGCAAGGGTATTGTCTGCGACCAATGATTTGCTATGTAAACTACAGGTAACACTAAGACTGGGTTCATGGATTCTTATTCTTAGATAAACAATATGAGTGTATTCACGCTTTAGATGTAACATAATAGTAATTTGCAGTGTAGTTTCTTAAGCAGTTAAAAGTAATTCCTTGCTTTGTCCATGGGAAATCAAACACTAGAAGGGAACTGTTGGTTCTGCAGAGAGGTAACCTGATTTTCATGACAGTGAACCTGTTATGCAATGGGCAATCTTGCTCATTGTGCACGGGGGATCATCTTGTGTTCCCATTTGGACGCGCATTGGATTGCTTGGGCTTTGATTCAACATCTGGCAGTGAAAGTATATGTGATGTTCCTTAACATCCAGTGGAATTAATTTTGATATTCAAGTTCTTATTCTCTTTTAATGACTGTTGCATGTCATTAGGTCCATGCAAGGTCGGCATCTTGCCTGCTTTCAGACAGATATTTTTTTATCGATTGATGTTCTGATTGCCAGGGATAGTTTTTTTATCGATTGGTGTTCTGATTGCTCAATTTAATAACATGATAGGTACAAGTAACAAAGAATTTCCTCTTTCATCATTTGTTTATATGCATTGCTTTCATCCATTATTGATAGACATCACCACAAAATCAAGCCAAGCATTGACTATCTTGCATACATACGTTGTTAAGAAACATCAGTTTCCATTTGGATTGGTCTCAACCTAAGAACGGTTTGGCTAATAGGGTTCAATTCTAGGCGCTGAGGTTACTGTCGGAAGAAGATCATATAATACCCAAGTAATCGAAGTAGAAGACACTTTGGAGAATCATGCAAAAATTGAGAGTGGTGGCCTTCTGAAGCCACATCTGTTTTTCTTGACAATACCTCAGGTACGTGCTTTGGTCTCCCCAGTGCCTTGTTTTTTATGATTGGAAGTCCTATCATGCTTTGCTTATTCGCTGCTTGTCTCATTCATCAAGGTTGAGGGAGGAGCAGACATTTGTGCTACATTTCGATGGTCTCAGAAGTTACTATATGACAGTGGCCGTTTCTCTGTTGAAATACCTTTCCGTTATCCATACTTTGTCAACCCATTACCAAAAGTGTTCATGAAGAGGGAAAAAATTCAGTTGACTGTGAACAGTGGTTTCAGTAAAGAGGTTTTGCTGCAAGGAACAAGCCACCCGTTGAAGGTGATCTAATTTTATTAACTGTCCTGATGTGCATTTGGAGCATTAGGAACTCTGCCTAGGTTTGATCTTCCGGATTTTTATTTTCATTTCAGGAAAAGAGTAGGCAGGGAGATAAATTGTTTTTCCATCATGAAACCATTGTTGAGAATTGGTCGAGCAAAGATTTCAATTTTTCATACAGTGTGAGTTTTTCTGCAATGATGTTCCCTACAGGCCGATGCCGAACTATCTTGCGAATCTAGCTCATCATGATATTCAGCAGATAAAAGTTTATAATCTTGCTGAAATTCTGTCCTTTGCCTAATTTCAATTTTATGTTGATATGTGTAGGTTTACTCAGGCGATTTGTCTGGTGGTGTGCTTGTGCAACCCGCAACATTACGTGACTATAATGAAAGCGATATGTTCTGCATTTTTCTTCTACCTGGAAGTGGCAACAGAAAGGTTAGTTGCTGCTACTTGCAACATTATCTTGATTGATATCCCTGCACTTGGAATGTTATCTATTTCAAGGTCAGGGATATCAAGCTGTATCAGCTCCTTTTAAGCTGCATGGAATTTTACCATGAGATTCTTCTAAATTGTCATTTGCCTCTATTCTCCTTTTAGTACCTTTATAGCCTTTTAGTACCTGTTTTGCTTCATCGGCTCAGAAGAAGTTCATCATCATGTTTGCCCCCTTTGTATTTCAAGAGATATGCCTTCATGGTCCTTTATCTCATCCGAGCTATTTCAATAGGTATTCAGAAAAGCAGTTGTGTTTATTGTTGACACAAGTGGAAGCATGCAAGGAAGGCCTCTTGAGAATGTCAAGCGTGCAGTTTCTACTGCTCTTTCAGAGCTTGTGGAAGGGGATTACTTCAACATTATAACATTTAATGATGAGCTTCACTCATTCTCTTCCTGTTTAGAGCAAGTAAATGACAAAGCAATAGCAAGTGCAACTGATTGGATGAATGCAAACTTTGTTGCTGAGGGTGGCACAGATGTTATGCATCCTTTGAGTGAGGTATGGCATTTTGAACAACTTCAGTTGGGATTTTCTTATCTTGTAATCCGGATTTCTCCTGTTTTGTTATTCATACTGGTCATTTCTTCATGTAAGGCAATGGCATTACTATCAAGTGTTCATGACACACTTCCACAAATATATCTTATTACTGATGGTTCTGTTGATGATGAGCATAACATCTGCCAAACTACAAAAACTGAGCTCACCAACAGAGGCTCTAAATCTCCCCGAATTTCTACTTTTGGACTAGGTAATATTATTGTGACTTCTGATCAAAACGCAATTTTTGTAGTACCTTTGTTCTTGACTTGAACTAAAGTTCTTCTGCCTTATTTTACCTATGGTCTTCTCATAATTTTATATACAAGTGTTAATTCCTGTGCAAAAGAAAACTATGCGTAATTTAATAGGATTGTTAACTCTGTGATTTGTAACTATTGTGAATCAAACTATGTTTTGCTCTTTCTTGTGTAGTTTGTCAAATTATGTTTTAGATATCACATGTTTTCTCTTTTTTCTGATGTTGTGACTTGAACATGTTAGGATCGTATTGCAACCACTATTTTCTGCGCATGTTAGCTTCAATTGGCAAGGGACATTACGATGCTGCACTTGAGACAGGTATCTGTGGTTCTTGTCTTTGCATTATCGTTTATGTACCTTTCATCATGATTCCATTGCTTGTTGATGTATTGCAAATATAAGATGTAATCAGTTCTAGCTGTGGTTAAATATACATTTTATCCAATTTCCTAAATCTCCTTGACATGGACAAAAAAAAAAATATTGAACCTTCTTGTTCTGTATTCTGGGTCTTCAGAGCTAGGAAGCATTTGTTCTCATTTGTTCTGTTTGCATTTGCTCTATTTCTACATGTTACAAGGTCTTTGTTTTATTATGTGTACATTATGATCTAAAGTTCAATAAACGAATTTAATCTGTCAGAAGTCTCCACTATGATTGCTATATGCATGCATTGGACTAGTAAATATATAAATATATTGTTTTAACCAAATTTTTTTACTGAATCTGTTATCCAGCATCAGTCGAAAATCGGATTCTTAAGTGGTTCAGGAGAGCATCAAGTACAATTGTGGCAAATATCTCCATTGATGCTATGACACATCTTGATGAATTCGAAGTGAGTTTGTGCATGATTGATTAGTAATTATACTTTTGTTATTTTATTTTAAATACTTGTGACAGTACAACTTCATAAAACTACCTTAGCATGCTTAATTGTGGAGATGCGGATGTATAGACTAAAAATTGTACTGTATAATCCATGATAAGTTTTTCATTAACTATTCTATTTGTCAATAAAGAAACATGTTTTTAGGCTGGGTTGGTGGCCAGTCAAGATTCTTCATGTTTTATCTAGAACATGCGAGAGCTGCGTATCATTGTATTAAGAAGAAAGATTCTGCAAGTTTTGCTGGAAAAGTACTGGTTTTGGTTGTCTAATTGCCGTTCTTTGTTCGTTAGGTGGATTCTGAGTACATTCCAGACCTTTCAGCAAACTCTCCTTTGTGTGTATCTGGAAAATACCAAGGAAAACTCCCAGACACAGTTAAAGCTAAAGGTTACTTAGCTGACATGAAGGAAATCTCGATTGAACTGAAGGTCCAACAACTAAAGGAAATACCTCTTGACAAAGTAAGATGCTGATTGCTGAAGCTATTTTTTTGTACGTTATGCTTGCGACTTCTCTACTTGAGCTTTGACTTAGGACAAAACTACTACATGATAATACAGCCTTCTTGATCAATCTAACTAATGCATCACAAAAGTACTCTTGAGAAAGAGTTTCCACAAAATCACATGTTCTTCTGGACAGTGGACACCTATATTAAAACTCGCTTTTTAAAAGTTTCACTTGGTGGGACTGGTTTTATTTATGTTGACTGGAATAATCGTTAAGAAGTTTAGTTTTAAACTTTTTGTGAACAATGTGTGTTATTATTGTGAAAATTTTCGTGGAAGCTGTGCTTTCGAGATAGTTTTTTTGGTCAAAATATGTGTAGTTTTCCAAAAAATATTTATTCATTAAGGATCTTTTTGTATGAATTTCAGGTATTGGTGACACAACAGATTGATCTTATGACAGCAAAGGCATGGCTTTCTGCAGACAAACAACTGGAGAGAAAGGTGGGGTATTTGGTCAGACAAATGATTGAACTAGGGTGTGTTTAGTTTAAGGCCCTAGCAGTTCAAGCAAAAATTTGGCCATGCCAAGGAAACTTGGCCTTCGTTTGGTGGCCAGCCAAGCCAAATTCTGTTCGACAAAAAATAATCTATAGTGAACTCGGGTGGCCAAAATGGCCTTGCCGATTTTGGCTAGCCAATTTTTGGCTTATAGCCACAAAAAAAGGAACAATTTTTGACCGGCCAAAGCACGGCTTTTTTTTTTTTTGCTTTGCCTGCACCACCCTAGACTTCCTTGGCTTTGCAATTGTCCTTTTGCCCTAGACCCAAAATTTGATCTTAGTGTTATGTTATGGTGTAAGTTGAAGGGGAAATGAACAGAACTGAAAATGCACTGCTATTTACTGTGAGAGTATACTATGGATAAACAAGTTTGTTCAACTTCAATCTGATTTGCCAAAGACTTAAAAATGCTTTTGAAAAGAACACACCACAAACACAGCAAAATAACCTCCAACTAAACTTTGTAGTGAGTATTTTATTTTTGCTTTGGTTTTCTCTCTTGCACATCTTTGAATAACAAGGGATTCTTCTCAATCTTGCAGGTGATTAAATTAAGCATACAAAATGGTGTTCCATCGGAGTACACAGAAATGATCTTACTTCAAACAAATCTGGATAAAGTAGATGGAACACAAAAGGTAGGTCCAATATGCTATTCTTCCATGATATTCATTCTGTTTTGGTGTAGGGGCCTTCATAAAATAGGTTTTGATCACTTATGTTCCTTTTCCAAATATAAATCAGTTAAAAGTGGGTCTTTTCATATGTGGAGACAATAATTATAGCTCATAACTATTTGCTGCTGTTGGCCCGTTGGCTGCAATTATAAATAGTTTGATGTGAAAGGACTTGTTGCTGAGCTTTGTGTACTTGAACAGGTCAAGCAAAAACTAAAAGGACAGAAAGGCAGAGATGAGCAACGGATCCTGCTTCATGGCCTGAAACTGGGATTCGGTAACAAAGACGCTACAAGGGAAAATCTCATCACAGGATTTGGGGACATGAATCCGGCAGAAAAACTTGTGATGCTCCAAAAGGGAAATGGCTGTTGCAGCCGCGTCGCTGACTGCCTCTGCTGCATGTGCTGCATCAAGGCGTGCAACAGGATGAACGACCAGTGCGCCATTCTGATGGCACAGATCTGCGCGGCTCTAGCGTGCCTTGGCTGCTACGAGTGCTGTGCGGAGGTGTGCTGCGGAGGGTCAGAGTCGTAGCAGGAAGTAGGGGAGCTCCGGGCGTTGTGTTTTGTATATTGTATGGAAGATTGGAGATTTGGAGTGTACATTATAGAGTTTGCGGAAGCCAGGTTGTGGGGCGAGGATGAGATACAATATATCAGCTTAGATCGACGAGGATCGATCTTGGTTGTACATTGTCTCCGTTCAAACGTTCTAATTTGCTCTTGTTACATGCAATGCAAAAGGGCCACACACTCGAGTAGTACTTGTTTCTGAATATCTGCCTGTTCAATGTTGGGAGTTGATGGGGCTGTTTGATTCCCAGTCACGGCCAGCCACGCCGCTGGTGCGGCGTCGCACGCAGGTTGTGGCCTTAAAAGTCAGCGCCCAAGTCTTAGGCAGAAAAATGACTAGCAAACGCAATGGCTGACATAATTTTCATATACAAACCAAACAACGGCGTTATTCTCTGTGGCTGCTGTAAGTTGGCCCGATGATTTAGGCCTCGTTTAGTTGGACAAATTTTGAAAATTTGGTTACTGTAGCACTTTCGTTTTTATTTGGCAATTAATGTTCAATCATGCTCAAAACGTTCGTCTCGCAATTTTCAATCAAACTATGCAATTAGTTTTTTTTCGTCTACATTTAATACTCCATGCACGTATCGCATGATTCGATGTAATGGCTACTGTAGTACTTTTTGGAAAAGTTTTTGAAAACTAAACAAGACCTTAGTTTGGCAACTGGGAACTAGCCGTACCTCCTGAATTTGATGCTGAATATCTGAGCAGGAGGGTCGCTCGGGAAACTGCAAAGCCCGTCTACAGTCTACAGAGAAGTGCAAGTTGCCTTGCCAAATAGTAGAATGCAGTTGAAGTACATGCTAGGGAAAAAGAAGCTCCGTAATTGTGCAAGTGGCGAAGCTAGAGCGAATTCGAGAAGGGTGCGGCTGCCTTGCAGATACGTAGATTTGAGTCATAATCATGATGAAAATTTAACCCTATCTACTGATATTCAAAATTTCTATGGGTGCATCCGCATCCACGCTGCATGTAGCTTCGCCACTGATTGTGGCCAAATGGCCTTAAACATGTACTTATTTTGCATCTACTACTGTATAAAGAAAGAGTGGATGCCATGCACATGCAGGCAGCTGCAGCTGCAGCCTATGCAGGCGTGCGCCACCTCTGGGACTGGGATCTCGGGCAGCCAATGGGAGGCCGTCCGTGCGATGCGAGAGCCGGGACAAGTGTCACGGCAGCGTGCACGGCCAGGGCAACCCGTGTCGGGCTGACACCTGTTTGTTAATGACCGGTTCCTCCCCGCCTAAGCACCCTGGATTGCCGCGATTAGATTAGTAGTCCCTGGTAGATTACTCCCCACGAGGTCCTCTCCTCCCGCCCCGCGGCCGCCTGATTGCCGGGGAGCGGGAAGGAGGTGCGATGGTCTCTGTCATGGGGCGCGCGCGACCCCCGACGGCCGACGCGCGGGAGGAATACAATGGCTATGTTCGCTTGATTTAAAATTCGTTATTTTTAGCTTATTTTTTTAGTTGGAATAGTGTTTCTTTCTCGCGACAAATCAGCCGAAACAGTATTTTAATTTGTTTTTCCAGCGAAGCGAACGGGGCCAACAAGGGCCGAATGGCTGGGTGCGTGCGAGCCCACGTCCGCTCTGCACAGGGCACCTGGGATAAATTCCACGGGGTCTCTGCTTTGACTGTGCGTGCTTTGGAGTAGTAGAGCCCGAATGACGATGGCAGTTAAGTTCGCAGCTACTCGGATCCTACGTACGCGGAGTACACAACTGTACATCGTTACCGTGGGAACATCCATCAGCGGGTACCGAGACGCGAGACAGTATCGTTGGCATTACAGCTGCAAAAGCCACCACGCTGGATGACATGTGTCGGTGTTTCAGACCGGAGATCCTCAACCAATTAGTAAAAGTGAATTGCGTGCTCCTAATCTCGAATGGTGATGCAAAGAGACACAAGGTTTATACTGGTTCAGGCAATTGGTGCCCTACGTTCAGTCTGAGATATCGGTCTTGTATTCCTTACACCGAAATGCTTGTAGTAGGGGGTTACAAGCTGGGTGAGAGAGGAAGCTAGTCCCAAGTCTCGGTGTAGGACGGTGCGAGGTGCTTGAGATGCTGCTCTCAAGCAGCCCGGGAGCGTGGGTGTTACAGGATGTGTCTAGGGCGAGTATGGGAGCGCGGTTCTATCGTCTGTCCTTCTCCTCCCCCCGAGCTATCCCTGGCCGCTTCCTTTTATAACCGCAAGAAGGAGCCAGGAGTACATGAGTGAGCTACACGTGGAACATACTGCAGTTTAGTCCTGTAGCAGCATAGCATTGGGAATAGAGATCTGTACATGTCTGGCGCGCCGTGCTGGTCAGGTTTGAAGTGGTTGAAGTCGTGGGAGTCCTTGTCGACGTCTAGTCAGTATGATTTCCACGGCTGGAGACATGCCGTGCTTTGGTGGACTCTTGACCTGATGGAGTGCCGAGGCCTAGCGGGTTGTAGCTAACCACGCCGAGGCCTCGACGGCCGAAAACCTGGCGGTGTTTGTAGGTGACCGCGCCGAGGCCTGATTTGCCGAGGCCCCGGAGAGAGCGAGTTGGGCCTATGCTGCGATTCCGAGGCTATAGTGACTGGTTTAGGTGGAAAAGTGCGGGCATGGTAAAAAGGAGATTTGATTGTTGTCCCATCGCTCTGTTGCTTTGTACCACCGCCGGCCGTGGTACGACGAAGCGGGTGCATTCAGCGCATTAAATGGATGGGATAGTCTGCCAGGGGGATGTTTGAGACGGAGGCGACGAGGATGCGGGACGAGCCCGGCCTCGACTGAGGTGGAGAAAGAACAGTACGTCCGAGGCCCTGCCGAGGGGTCTCGGACGAGGCGGAGAACGAGCAGCTGGGCTCTTCTGCTGTTGCTGAGACTACAGGGACCTGGACTTGACCTTCCACGCCGCTTTGTCCTTAGCGCAGGGGTTAGGTAGCACAAGGCAAAGATCTGGTGTCGAGAAGAGCACGATGATGAGCACTGTGTGGCGGTAACCCGCCGCGCCGGCCCCCTGTCCCCATCGGTCGATTCGCCCCACACTGCCCGCGGCTGGTGGCGTTCTTGAGAGTGGTTGGGCGCATTATCCCGGACGTGACATTTTGTCAGAGGAGTTCGGTCGGGACGGAGGTAACGAGGTTGTTTGTCGAGCCCAGCCTCGAGCGAATCGGAGAATTGGCACCTCGTCCGAGGCCTTTCGGGGCGGGGCCTCGGCGAGAGGGCCTCGGCGGGGCGGGGAGCTTTTGGTCTTTCGCATGAGGCTTCGGCGCAAGGCCTCGGGCGAATCGGAGAAATCTGCTGAGACCTTGCGGTAGTCTTTCGGTTTTGATTTTTGCAAGGTTTAAGCAATATTTTTGGTTTCTTGCTTAGGGTACCCCTTCTTGCGGTATCCGACAGTAGCCCCCGAGCCTCGGGAGGAGTGAGGGCACTCTCCTGAGGTTTTTGTCGAGACTTGGCTCGCAACAGCTCTTGTTTGGGATTGCGTTTTGTACTCGAGGCCTCGGTGGGTGCGCGCGAGCGCACCCGCTGGGTGTAGCCCCCGAGGCCCTGGAGGAGTGATTTGACTCCTCCAGGGGCTTTTCTTACGTCGTGCGACGGATTTTTATTGCGCTAGCCGAGCCTATGAATGCGAGTTCGGGTCGCTGCGCCTCGGTTAGTTATAGGAAGAACCCCCGAGTCTCCGCTCGGAGCAAGAGGACGACCAAGAGTTTCCCTGTCTTTTTTGCATTGCCCTCACGCATCCGTTTTGTTTGAAAGGAGGGGTGGAGGGTGTCATGCTACTCTCGGTGGGCACGAGCAGTGACACCTCCGGCGAGCTATTATCGGGTAAGTCCGAGTGGAGGCCCGAACCCCGTTCGTTAGGGGTCGGCTAGCGGTCTAGAGACGCACTCCAAGAGTACCAGAGGGTTTCTCTAGTGGGTGCCGGGGCCGTTCGCTAAGTCCCGGTGGCTCGGTGCCTCCCTACGGTGGGATCCTATTCGGAGACCGCCCTGTTGGTCTCGGACACGACTTAGAGCGTCCCGAGCAGTCGTCTGCTCGGGTCTCGGCCAAGCGCGGGCTCGCCCATAGTCGTCCCTGACTCGGTTGCCCTGGGGCAGCTGTCGAAACCCTTAGGGGCCCAGCCTTCGAACCCCTGGACTGTAACGGGCTCGATGCCCTTTTATCGTGTTTTTTTGAGTCTTCAGGTGCGGGCTTGGGTCGCTTGTCCTTGTCTTAGGTGCAAGAGGAGCCCCCGAGCCTCCGCACGGAGCGAGAGGGCGGTCAGGGGTCCCCCTAACTTTTTTGTTCGACCCTCGCACATCCTTTTCGTTCGGAAGGAGGGGTTGTTTGCCGAGCCCACTCGTGTGCGAACCTGGGTCACTGGGTCTTGGCAAACTTGCAGGAAGAGCCCCCTGTCCTCTGCACAGAGCGAGAGGGCCGTCAGGTGCTCTCCTGGCTTTTTATACGCCCCTCGCGCGTGAGGGTTTGTTTGCTGAGACCCCCTCGGGTGCGAGCCTGGGTCGCGGGGTCTCAGCATATCTGTAGGAAGAGCTCCCTAGCCTCTACCCGGAGCAAGAGGGCTGTCAGGAGTTCCCCTGGCTTTTTGTACGACCCTCGCGCAACCTTTTCGTTTGGAAGGAGGGGTGTGTTTGCCGAGCCCCCTCGAGTACAAACCTAGGCCGCTGGGTCTCGGCAAAGTTGCAGGTAGAGCCCCTTAGCCTCTGCACGGAGCGAGAGGGCGGTCAGGAGTTCCCCTGGCTTTTTATGCGACCCTCGCGCATCCTTTTCGCTCGGAAGGAGGGGTGGAATATGCCAGGCTACCCTCGGTGGGCGCGAGCGGTGACACTTCCGGTGAGCTACTATCGGGTAAGTCCGAGTGGAGGCCCGTGCCCCATTCGATAGGGGTCGGCTAGTGGTCCGGAGACGCACTCCAAAAGTACCAGAGGGCTTCTCTATTGGGTTCCAGGGCCGTTCGATTGGCCCCGGGGGCTCG